CTGGCCGCAGCGGCGCGGGGCGCGGGCCATCGGCATGCCGCCCACGTGTGTCCGGGCGCTGCCGGGTGCCCGGGGCAGCGCGTGGGGAAGCCGTCCGGGGAGAGGACGCGCCAAGCCAGCCGAGCCACCAACGCCGCTGCCACTAAAGAGCTGCAGAGCAACAGCGCGCGCCGCCTCCCGAGGCCGTAGCTACCAGCCCCGGGGGCGGGGTGCTGGCGGACCCGCCCGGGGGCGAGGTTTTCGCGCGCGGGACACGCCCCTGGCTGGGCCTTAAAGGCGCCGCGTTACGTAGATGCGCTTGGGCACCCACAGGGGGGCGGTCTGGATGGGCGGGATGTGACACGACGGCTACCGCTCACCTTCCATTTCCACACAGTTCTTTTCCTTCCTTCTTTGCCTAACATGCTCCGCGACAGGACAGTCTGGGGTAAGATCCCCTGCTAGCCCCCTACCCCACATTCTGGGTGGCCTCTTATTACTCAAGGAGGGTAAACCATTTCTAAGGCCTCAGTGAGTGGGAAGCCTCGGCCCTGTTCATGTCCTCATGTCCAGCGTCTGGACATGAACTAGTTTTATGTGACTTAGGGCTCTTCTCTCTGAGCCGCAGTTTCATTTTCTGGAAAACAAGCAGACAACCCTGCTGTTTAAATGAGCAACTCTCAATTCTTATCCATTGCTGATGGGGATGCGAAATGGTACAGCCACTGTGGAAAACAGTGTGGAGGTTCCTCAAAAAACTAAAAATAGAACTACCATATAACCCAGCAATTCCACTGTTAGATAACATACCCAAAAGACTTGAAATCAGACTCAAACAGACTTGTACACCAGTGTTCATTGCAGCACTACTCACAGTAGCCAAAAGGTGGAAACAACCTAAGTGCCCATCAACAGATGGATGGATAAACAAAATGTGGTTCAATGGAGTAGTGCTCAGCCAGGAGGAGAAATGAAGTCCTGATATATGCTACAGTATGGATGGAGCTGGAAGACATCATGCTGAGTGAAATAAGCCAATCACAAAAGGACAAATATTGTATGACCTCACTTATATAAACAGATAAGAAAAGGTAAATGTATAGAGATGAAAGTTTATTAGTGGTTACCAGGGATGGGAGAGAGGGGGATAGGGGGGTTATTGCTTATGGAGTGTTGAGTTTCAGTTTACAGTGATGGAAAAATTGCATTGATTAAGGGTAGGGTTGCACAGCCAATTAATGTAACTGCTGTCAATCAGTTGTACACCTTTAAAAATTTGAAATGGCAAAAGTTGTGTGATAGATATATGTGTCCTAGTTATCTATTGCTGCTGTAACAGAAATGCCACAAGTGAACGGCTTTAACAAAGAGAAATTTATTCTCTCACAGTCTAGGAGGCTAGAAGTCCGAATTCAGGGTGCCAGCTGCAGGGGAAGACTTTTTCTCTCTGTTGGCTCTGGGGGAAGGTCCTTGTCATCAATCTTCCCCTGATCTAGGAGCTTCTCAGCATAGGGACTCTGAATCCGAAGGACGCGCTCCCCTCCTGGTTCTTCATTCTTGGCGGTAGGAGGTCCCCTGTCTCTCTGCTGGCTTTTCTCTTTTATCTCTCGAAAGAGATTGACTCAAGATACAGCCTAATCTTGTAGACTGAGTCCTACCTCATTAACATAACTTCCTCTAATCCTGTCTCATTAACATCATAGAGGAACGATTTACAACACAGGAAAATCACATTGGATGACAAAATGGTGGACAATCACACAATACTGAGAATCATGGCCTAGCCAACTTGATGCATATTTTGGGGGGACACAGTTCAGTCCATAACAACACATTTACAACAATGACAAAAAAAAAAAAAAAAAAAAGAATAGCTGCTGAGGCTGCTTATGTACAACCAAACAACTCATGGGATTTGGTTCCTTGGTTTGGATGTTTAGGGTCATGATTTCATGTGACATCCCAGTTAATTGGCCTAATACCATGTTTAGTGCTTCTGTTCTGCCCCCTAGTTTGTTGCGTACGTAGTGCCTGGGGTCTTAAAAACCTGCAAGCGGCCATCCAAGGAACAACCATTGGTCTCTATTTGCCTGGAGCAGCAAAGGAAGAAGGAGAGTCAGGAACAGGAATAGGAAATGGAATGTGTGGTAAACTGCCTCCTTTCGCATGAGACCAGAAGAACTGGATGGTGCCTGGCTACCATTGCTGAACGTTTTGATCGAAGATTCCTTAGAAGAATCGTGATCAAAAGGGGGAAAATGCAGCACAGAATTTAAAATTCTCATGGACTCCAGACTTTCTGGAGCCAAAGAGGCTGGATGACCCCCTGAAACTATCCCTGAGATAATCTTTAAACCTTAAACCAAAAATATCCCCTGAAGTCTTCTTAAAACCAAACAATAGTTCAGCTTAACTAGTAAAAAATATCTGCCTTCAGTGTTATACTCTTTTAAGAACTATATATATGGGATCAAATTGACAACAGCAACTCAAAAGGTTAGATAGGAACCTTAGGAGGCAGTGAGTTTATGTTAATGGAGGAGCAACTCAGAAAAGGGAGGTGAGAATGGTTGCACAACTCCACGAATGTAATCAATGTCACTGAGTTGTACATGTAGAAACGGTTGAATTGGTGTATGTTTTGCTCTGTATAATCTCAACATCAGCAACAACAACAAAAGAACAGCTCTCATTTGTTGCACACCTGCTATTTATAGAGCACTCAGCAAACCAGCAAGAATGGTATACAAGCCCCGTTTCCCAGGTGGAGAAACTGAGGCTCAGAGAGAAGGGCATAATGTTAAGTGTTCCATTTGTGACTGTTTGACCCCAGACTCCATATTCATTCCACAAGGCCGCTGTGCTCCCCGCAGGAGAGGTGTTGTCACTCTATCATCTGGGAGGCTGGGCTCTCTTGGGTCCCCCTCAGGACCTCCTCTCTGCTGCCATCTTCCCACAGAGCTGGGGGGACCAATTGGATCAACCCCATCTGCTTTGCCCTTTTCATGTCTCTCCTTGGAGCTCCCTTGGCAGGGCTCCGCTTTCCCTGTGAAGTCCCTCCTGTCTGAGGAGCCCGCAGCACTCTGGTGCTGTCCCCACCCCACCCCAGCCCCGTCCTTGTCCTGCAGTGCCCAGGAGCAGGACGGGTTGACATGCAATGGGTTAGCACAAGTCTCAGCTTTACCCCTTCACCACACTATCACCGACCCCACTTGCACACTGCCAGGCCACCCAGGTGGTTCTGGGGGGTGGCTGGGGGCTGCCCAGGGTCAAAAAGCACCTCAGCCTTCCCACCTCTGCCCAGTCAGGGTTCCCTTCGGGGGTCCTGAGTAGCGCTGACCTCTGCAGGTGGATCACCAAGTGCCCCCTGCCAAACAACTGAAGGAACCCTGCTCTGGGACTCACTTAGGGACAGCCAGCCCACCACCCTGGTTTCATAGAGGAAAAAACAGGCAACAGGTGCAGGTCATGTGACAGTCTGCCCTATGTCCCTCCCCCATACCCCTCCTCCTCCCCCCTTCTTGGCCTAGGTGGCCTTGAGGACCCAGACTCAGATTCCACGTGGGTGCTCAGCACAGGGCCAGCTTTCAGGGGTGTTCAGAGGATGAATGGCGGGCTAAGTGACCCATCAGGCAGTGCTGGGGACAAGGAAGCTGACCCCTGAGGGCCTCCTGTGAACCAACCTGGCCTGGGCCAGGCACTTTACACAGTGACTTTTTTAACCCTCATTTAACTGTCCTGCAAGATAGACTATGCCTATTGTACAGATGAGGAATTGGGGCTCAGGAAACTACAGGTACTTGCCCAGGATCCCACAGCTCAGAGAGTCAGGATTGGCCTTCAGGAGCTTCCATTTCAGGGGTTTGCCTGTGACCACCAGAGGAAGGGCAGCCGCCCACGTGGCCCAGTTTGACCAACCCCTACATCTCTGTAGAGCTTGGCATGTGGTGGGGACTCGGACAGGAGTTGGGGCAGTGGAGGTGGTGATGGTGGGGACAGTAGTGATGATGATGAGTGTGATGGGGCCATCATCTCTCTGTGATTAGTGCTCAGCTAACTCCCCTTAGAGCCATGCTGGGGCACGAAAGGGAGGTGGGAAAGGGGACATTGTCACAGGCACACACATAGCCATTCACTCCCAAGAGGACCTGGGAGAGTGGGCTCCAGTGGGGATGCCCCCGGCCCTGTGCCAGCACACAGTACACTCGGGCCACCCAAGCCGTGAGATGTGTTGCTGCACTCTGAGCCACGGAGAGCAGGGTGAGATACTGGGACTTCCCAAGGAGGTAGAGCAGGAGTACTCTACCTTTGTACAGGGGACCCTGTTTGACCACCCGGTAGGAGTTTGGGGCTCTCACAGCAGTCTTCCATTGCCCAGGGTACGCTCAGCTCCTCGGGGTGGCAGCAGAAGTCCCTCCAGGCCTGGCCCCCAACCCGCCTCTTCATTTCCCGCTACACCCCACACCCCACTCTCCTCAAAAAACGCCCCCTTGCCCTGCCTCCAGCCTCTTCCTGGGCTCTCCCAGCTGACCAGACTCATCTTCACCGCTGAGGGGCAGCCCTGTCTCTCTGGGACAGGCTGGAGGCTCTGCCCTGTGGGCCCAGGGCCCCCTGCCCACCCACTGTCCCAGCACCTGTGTGCTCGCACCCTCCCCCCAGTACTGGCAGCTGCTCAAGGACCCCGGGAGCATTTTAGTCCTCTGTATCTGGCCTCCAAGAGGCCTGGGTGCAGGGAAGAAGTGAAGCATGCCCCTGCCCCACACCCCAACATCAGGGGTCTTCAGAAGTGGGGGTTCAGGCAGCCCCTTCTGCTGGCTGGCCCCCCGGTTGGGAGGCTCAGGCTTGTGGAAGCTCCCATCCCTAGGGAGCAGAATTTTTGTGCCTCCCAAAGGGTGGAGAGGAGTCTGGGGTCCTT